CAGATGGAGCTGCTGGACCAGAAAGAGCTAAGCGTGGGTTTGCCTCTGCATATGCGGTAGTTCAACACCTGAAAGAAATGTAGTTCCAAAGGAAAGAGCTGTTTGACGGCAAGATAAAGCGGTGCGAATATTCAAAATGTACACTTACATACTACTTACGTATACAAACTGATATTAGCTGTTCTCTGAGCATTTTTTTAAGTGGCTCAAATACATTTATTTGCTTGCCCCATCCGCAACAGCTCATCGCTCAACTTCCATGCGGGTGCTTCTGGCTGCTTCTCTAAACTGGCAGTGTGCTGATCCAAATCTATTGCAGTAATACACGGATTATAGATATCTTCCTCACTCAACTATCACTTTAAGTTATCAATAGAAAAAAGCCAAACAAATGTGATGCAGGTCAGCTTCCAGCCCCTCAAAGACGTCCTTTGTCCGCTGAACTATGTCGGTGAAACACAGATTTTTAATGTGAAACTGCTTTATTCAGCATGTCTAACGATTTTTATCCCCTGGTCTGTTTGTTGTGGAGAGGATGACACCTCTGCATATAATTTGAATCCCGGTAAAAAAAAAAACCTCCTGAACAAGGGACACTGAAGGAATCCAAACCAGGAGAAGCTTACAGCAATGATGGGTAAAACAACAACTCCCATGATCCCACGCTACACTTCACACAACGTCGCCCAACATTGTCTTTTGTTATTGTTTTGATTGAGAGACCCCTAGTGACAGAAATTACATACTGTTCGTATAAAGAATATAGATAAATGAACAGAGCCATGCTAGCCATTTCCCTCTGTTTCCAGTCTTCATGCTAAGCTAAGCTAATGGGCTGCTGGCCCCAGCTGCAGTACATATTTATCATACTGACACGTTGTCAGTATTCTAAAAGTTAACAATTGTGTCTCCCAAAAAGTCCAACTATTGCTTTAAAACCTTTTTCCAACTAAACTTTTGGAGATCCAGACAGTTTCTCTGAACCCACTGCACTTTTATCATGCACTGATGTGGATGCCTTCAGCGAATAACTCTGAAAGGACTTGCAAGTAAGTGATCTTACGTTTTAGAGCCCCCAAAAACATTGAGGTATTTCTTTCTTTGCAGCGTGGGCATTCTGATTTATATAAAATCTTACAGTGTGTGCATAGCGCCAGAAGCACTAAGAACTGATTATTTAGCCTTTACTTTACTGTGTATGTGTGTGTGCGCATCTCAGCCAGTCTTAACTGTCATCAGTCTGTCAAGGTAATGAACCCTACTTTACTGCAGCCTCCAACAGCTCTTTAAGGCATACTTCACACCACTGAAGAAATACACTCAGGTATTAGTTGTTCTGCCTGGATGGTCTGCTGGATGATGGGTGGGCGGGGATGTTATTAGGAGTATTCATCTACAAGGCTCCCCAAGCCATACTATACTGAAACTGACCACAAGACAACCCTATCATCCTCAAAGATTACCTGTCTCCTGCACTGTATATGAATGTTTTATCATAAAAGCTTTTCTTTTTTGCTAAGTGCCTCCTTGAGTGTTTGCTTTTAACTTTTGATTACTTTATGTCTTGTTGTGAAGAAGAAGAAGAAGAAAAAAAAAAAAAAAGCCTGGCCCATTTGAATATAATGGACTTAACGGGAAAGGTAGTCTCTGTTGCTTCATTGAGAGGATACAGCACGGTGGTGTAATCCACCACAGTGGGTGTGAAAAAGTTTTCACAAAGTGGTAATTTCAGTGCCTGGGGGCAAGCAGTTTTTATCAAGACGTTGTCAAAGTGGGCCAAGCAGGTGGAGAGAGTCAAGGGAGAAAACAGACATGACACAATCATATATATCAAACAGCATGGCCGGGTTTGTATAGGATCCATATGTTTCCGTCTGTGAGGAAATATAGGATATCATGCATTACGGTGTAAAAAGAGTCATTTAAACCCATTAAAAACAGCCCAGTTCAACTTATCTGTGTTTGATGTGGTGGATCACATCTCATTTGGCTCTTTTTTTTATATATGATAGCTGAGTTTCTCTTTTATAAAGCCTTGAGTCATTATAAGAAAAAATATTTTTCTCTCTTTTGGTCTAGACATTGAGGTTTCCAGCCCTTAGCCCCCCTCCCTTCCTCCTCTCGGTTTTACCAGACGTCGCGTTGTGAGAGGGGAATGGTCGATTGCATAACGGCAGGCGAGACTTGATCGTTCCTGGCCTTCTCACAAAATTCAATCATTCTCTGCATACTCCAATCCCATGACGGCCCATTAAAGAGTAGCACAGGCTAGGATTTCCCCTCATGTGTTTTAAATTGAAATTACGGTCACAAAGTCTGCCATATGCATGAATCGAGGAAGACAAGGAGCTTGGGGAAAAGGAGATATCAAAATAGTTGGACTGAAGGAGAGAAAGAGAGAGGCAGCAGAATGATAAGGAAGACCCCACTCCCCCACTTTCTTTCATTATGTTATTTGTGTCATCCTGCCACCCACATTCATATTGGGCTGTCTACCTGTCTGCATCTCAGTGCTTTCTGATTTGGACTTCATAACACTTAAAGGGCCCTGTTCGCATTTTTTATTACACAATTCTAGAAAAGCATATAAAAAATTGAGCTAGTCTTGAATGTTTCCCCATTCACAGATATAAAGCTATTGCTAAAATCATTCCAAACAAGTCTGTGGCATTTAAACTCAGCACACCATAAGTCATAGAAACTACAGGAAGAGATAAGAAGAAGAGGAGAAGCATGAGAGATGATGATGATGACCCCAGATGTTCTCTGAGGAACCACTGGGATCTGAATCAGACTCTGACTGGCCATGACTTCCTCATTCCTATTTGTCCCCGTAGACTGGAGGAAGGACAAATACACACACACACACACACACACACACACACACACACACACACACACAAACACCTACATGGATAAGACTTACTCTCTGATTTAGTGTGAGGCGGATATGATGCAGACGTGACTACAGTGACCTGGGCAAACACCCCAGAGACATGCATCACTCCCCCACCTTGAGCAATATTTATGTAGGCTACTTTTGGAAAAAGAAAAAACAGCATCAAGGCAGGATGAAAGATGGTAGAGAAGTTTATATTTATGCTCAGTGTTTCCATCAAATCGAGTGTAAAATCTTGTGTAAAAAAAAAAAAAAAAGAGCACGATAAAACTAAATCCTTTCTTATCGTCTCATTAAGCTAATGTGATTTGATCAAACAAATTTTGAGTTATTATTATTGCTGCAGATCAAAACTGTAGGAACATTCGAATCTTGAAGTGTGACTGCAGCTTATTGTGATGCTCTTCTAATCATACAGTGACATCTAGTGTTGGTTTCAGACACGTGCAGGCTACCAATATTAATGTATTATCTAATGACACATTATATAAAGACAGTGTGCATAGATTTGAACCAGTTCTTACTTTTTCAAGTAATTTCTGGAAAACAATTGAAAATGGGTATAAATGGGTGGTAAAGAAGTTTACTAATACACCACTATTCCATGATTGGTTGTTATGTATTGGAAATAAAGTATTTTAAATAAGTATTTGTTTTTTCAATGGCAAACTGGAGGAATATGTTGTCTTTTCAGACATTATAAAGCAAAACCTTTGAGTGTTCCCAGGAGCACAGTGGCCTCAATAGTTGTGAAATGGAGGAAATTTGGAACCACCAGGACTCTTCCTGGAGCTGGCCATCCTGCCAAACTCAGTCTGTGGTCTCGTGAAATGATCAAAACTACACTGCTCATCACTATGATGAAGCATGGTAGTGGCAGCATGATGAAATGGGGGGAGGGGGCTTCTCAGCGACAGGGAGACTTGTCAGAATTGAGGGACTGATGAATGCAGCCAAATACAGAGGTGCTTGAAGAAAGCCTGCACCAGAGTGCGTCCGTCCTGAGACTGGGGCGACAGTTCACCCTACAGCTCGACAATGACCCAGAGCATACAGAGCCCCTGAAGGTGGCAGTTTTTCTATCTATAATAGTTTTTTCTATCCAATCAGACCAAGCTTGAGATACTCTGACAGGAAGAACAGGATAAACTGCCCAAATCCAGGTCTGCAAAGCGTGTAGAGACTTTCCCAAGAAGGCTTTTTAATTGATGCTGAAAGGGGCTTCTACAATGTTCTGCAAAGCACTGAATTAAGGGTCTGAATACTTTTGTAAATGAGAGATTTCAGTTTTTGATGTTTAATGAATTTGGAAAGAAATTCTACAAACATGTTCTTATTTGTCATTATGGGTTATTAAGTATAGACTGATGGTAGTGTTATCCATTTAACATGAAATCCACACAATAAAGTGTGCACACATTGTGCTTTCTGGGGCCACTGTATGCAAATGTTGTAAGATGGAAACCCCATTAAACCTGTTTTACAGTCAGGTAAATCTATTTACATGAATGATTTAAAGACATTTGCATATGATACCTTTCATGTCACATGTATGTAATAGATAATAATAATAATAATAATGATAAATAATAGACTGTAACAGGATAATATATGTATATGTAGGAGATGAATAGATAACTGTCAGGGGAACGAGGGGACGGTTGGATTGTGTGGGGGATGAATTGTATGTTTTCTTTTTTGTCTCTTTTTCTGTGTTATCTGGGATCTTATATTTTCCTCCCTCTCCTCTATTGACATGTTTGTCAGCTGTTGTAGTTTGTGCTTGTGCTGCACATACCTTGCACCATGTAAAACCACCAGCTATGTGCTCAGGGATAGGTGGGAAGGATGATGGTTTTATCTATGATGGAAAATACCCTTTTGAAATTGAATTTTTTTTTCACATTTCACACATTCCCTGTAACATTTGCCAAAATAGTTGATGCTACCTTCAACGGTACTCCAACATTAAAGACAGGCTCATGCTGCCCCCCCCCACCCCCGTCCTCTCTCTATTCTTAAGCATAAAATATTTTGCCCCAGCTGGATTAGGATAAGGAGAATGTTTAAGAGAATTTGCAGAATAAAACACTCATTCAGGTAGCAATAAAAAGAAAAGTTTTATTTGGTATGGATATAACAGTTTCTCCACACTTGTCACATACAGAAAGCAAGTTATAACGTTAAACAAACCAAAAACTACAAATCTGTCCGTCTCAAATTAAGGCACATCTTAAAGCCAAAGGTATCACAGGTTCTTATAAAAGCAACATCACTCACATAATGGTAACAGTTCAAGTAAAATGGCTTTGACCTCTGAATTGAGAAGGAACTATAATATCCTCAGCAGTAACATACACTTTAGTTGGTCGTTTGTGGTCTGAGACATTGAGAATGTACAGTAGATGTCACTTCATCCCTGTCTAGAGTTCACTCCATAAGTCAAATAAATAGAGATATCTATGTAAAAGCAATGATTCATCATCTGACTCTCGTGAGAAGATGTACTAAATGTAAATCTGATGAGCAAAATGAATTCGGTGCCACTGAAATAAGTGCAATTTGAAGTTGAGTTTCGTACAGCAGTGTTTAACTTAAACATATTAACTTATCGTCTACATTGGACATTTAGTGTTGCAAGCATCACCTGACTTGAAAAGTCCATAGACACTGACCAACGGGAACATGGATACGGCGCCAACCATGGAGCCCAACTGCACTACTGCTCCACACCACACCAGGGCGCTGTGGCCCTCGTCCCGCAGAATCACCCCGATGATGACCTTCACATATGACAGCGACAGGACAAACAGGATCCAGGCCAGGACCTGCAGCACAGAAGAGGTGATTATTTATATATCTGAGCAAATCACAATTGACATCCAGTCCCTGTTACATGGATACCACTAAGATTGCAACATGTCCTGGTTTTACCTCAACATATCATCCAGCTCAGTGGCTTTCGATGTCGTGCCATCATGAACAGGCTGGAACAGGAGCTTTTCACTCCCAACAAAAGCGGAACCATAAGTTCCTCCTCTCTGGTTGAAGTGCTAGCAGTCAATAAATTCCCCTGCTGAGGTGTTTGACTGCAGTTATGGCATCATGATTATTGATACACCAAACCATTTTTTTTGTTTGTTTGTGTTGTGCATTAGTTTATGTTTGGTTGTAATTGTACATGTATGCTCCTCATTTCAGCAATTTTTTTATTGTTTACTGTAATTTAAGTTAAGCTAATCACATTTCTCTGTTTAGAGGTGTTGTGTAAATAAAGTTAGAATTATTAAGTTATTGATTGTGATAAAGAGAAATGGACTGTCAAAAGCTCTGAGGGATAAAAATCTCTCAGAGCTTTAGCCGAGCTAACTCAAACCCTGCTAACTTGCTATTAGGATTTTCCCCCTATGCTTTTTTCTAAATGATTTTTGGACATTTTTATGTTCACTATGATAGGGAAAGTGGGAGGGAGAGAGAGAGCAGCATGAGGTTTCCCTAGGCTGACAAGTTTCATTCCTGGCAGATACAGGCGGGGACAGTATGATGCAACCTTGTACAAGAGTGCTTGCCAATCTACATGTGAATGAACGCCTCTGTGACGGTAACTGAAATTTTCCTCAGGCAAAATTCACAACTTCATAAATATTGCACTAAGATGGTTTGACAGTATTGTCTTCATCAAGTCAGATGGGACTGAGTTGACATGCATTTATCTAAAAAACCAAGCAATGTGAACAGACAGGTGGGTTGTACTTTCTACTTTCATTCTTTTATAAGGTGTAGCATGAGCCTGATGTACAAGACAGAACGTGCGATCAAAAATTAACTTGTTTGCAGTATGTAATTTATTTCATAATCTAAACAGCTGTGTGTCAGAATGCGTTAGGAGAAAGGGTCTTACTATGATTACAGCTCCAGAAGCACTGTAGACCAGCAGGGGACAGGGACTAAGGGCAGCCATGGCCATGATGTAGGCTCCAAATCCAGTCCCAAACATGGTCAAGAAACCCATGAAGATGAGAGACCTGGAAGCAAAGTTTAATGCATGAATTAAACTGAGGATTTTCTGTTGCACACTGAACTACTTGGCTTCATAAAACACACAAATATGACAGTTTAAATGCATTCAGGGGACAGCTTTTAAGATGTGACCTCCACAAACTCTAGTGACCTGTAGGAGTTGCAGTAATGAGTAAATGTATCTCTTCTTTGTTATTGGAGGAGACTGAAAAAATCCTAGTCTTATTAGATTGAGCCTTTGTGTAAAGAGGTGGTTCCAGTATTCATTCTTACCTAATTGGCATAAACATGGCGATGAAGCAGGCCACTGGGTTAGCAACAGCACCCATGGTGGCAGCTAGATGGTAGGCCTGGTTACCATAAGGCAGACAGGAATAGGACTGCACTGATGGCAGCACCGCGTTAGTCAGAGCGTTGACCCAGGCCAGCACCAGGAAGATGAACACCACCTCGAGATTGCTGTACATCCCCGTCCCAAAGGAGCTCCTGGGTTCCCTCCTGACCGCCTCCAGGGGACTGATCATTGGCTTCTGCTCTGGTGTCTGAGCGTGCAGAGACAGTCCTTGTTCTCTCTTCCCCTGAGCAAGATCCCCACTGAAGTACAGGTCATTCTTCCTCTCCCGAGCCACAGCTGGGTGATGGTTGAGTAGGATGAAGGCTACCAGGGACACGACCATCATAGCACTAAGGAACACGAAGAAGACCTGGGCAGAGAACTTAGCCGGCTGGTAGATGGCTTGTAGCTCTGCACTGCTAACCCCAGTGAAATTATCAGCTGTTTTGTTGGCTAAACCAGCCAAAGTGGCATTCTGACAGTGGACTACACCAACACCTTGAATTAGAGCCACCAGTGCAGGCACCAGACCACTGAGTCCCTCACCTGCAAAGTACGTAGTGAGGTACTGTGGACGCAGTCGCATCATGAAAGGCAGAAAGGTAACAGAGGAGGTGCAGTCTACTACGGAGAGCAGGAAGCTTAACACCAGCAGGGGCACACTGTGCAAAGAGCCCCCTATTGTCACTGTGTGCCTCCAGAAGAAAGCCAGCAGGAATGTAGCAATGATCCCCAACACCACAATGCAGTAGATAACCGGCCGCTCGTCCAGCGCCCCAGGGCGGAAGCGGTGCATCAGGGTGATGAAGAGTGGACCTACGTTGGCCATCTGGATGAGGACTGTGAGGTATGAGGGCAGGTACCACCCCTCTGGGATGTAATTTACAATCAAGGGGAGCTCCACCCACATCCCATTGATGGCCACCCAGGAGCCCATACCAAACAGACACGCCAGCACGTGAGTGAGCAGCGACATGATGGAGGCAGGAATGAGGCAAATGAGGAAATGTAGATGTTGACTATCTGAAACACAGACACAACATGAGCCAGTTTGATTAGTAGATTGTAACACTTGAAGGATCCTTACAAAAAGAAAAATGTTTTTTTCATATGAAGCACAGTTCGGATGAAGGTTAGATTGGTATCGAAATACTGACTATGAGCCTATTAGATACAGCTCTATGATGGATATGTTATATTTACATTGTGTGTATTCTTTTCTTCTTTCTTATCTGAATTGGATGTAATGTAATGGCACTTTAGCTAAGTTTCCATCCATATGTAACACAAATTTTAACCAAATCTGTAAAAGAAAATGTTAATTAATGTGTGTTTTCATCTACTACTCTTATGTGATGTTTTTTTTTTAATTTCTGGTGCTTACACTCAGGTTTTTCAGATGGCATAAAACAGGTGGATGGAAATGCACTTATTGTTTGAGTGATGGCTCTTAGTGTTCTGTAATAGTATAAGAGCTGTTTTTATACTCTGAAGAGAGAGAAACAGTGAATATGTTTTACTAAATGCTTTGGGGTGAGATTAGTATTAGTAGAAGAAATTACTCAGTGGCAAAAACACTGAACAAAGCAGCTTAAGCCCAAACATGCAAGCAGCTCTGTGAGGCTGTAATTCAGGCACATTGGTTCCATCTGATCAAAAAGTATAGTAATAGTTATGTTTACAACCACCTTAGGTTAGCATGTTAGCATGCTAATGTTTGTTAATTAGCACAAAACACAAAGTGCTGCTGAAGCTGATGAGAATATCCTTAGTTTTGCAGTTGATTGGACAACATGATGACCTGATGATAGTACAAAATGGAGAGTTAAAGTTATAGTTATTGTAATTGTAATTCAACCTGAAGAGGACATCAATGTCACTTCAGCCTGGACCGACCATCCATAAAGTCATCCTTGTAGCATGGCTAAAAAGGACCAAAAGATACCCTGGAGATAATGTTTGGTAACTACATATCAGCATAAATAAAAACAGTTTCAGTAGATAAGCATACCACGAGTTAATGTTACATATTTGTATCGAGAACAAAAACATGTGCCCATGTGGCTGGGATTGACCTTCCCACTCTCTCCCTTCTCCCTGCCTCTAATCCTATCCTCCTTCATGTTCTCTCTGGCAAGGGATGCCTGACCTCTCACACACTGACACACTGCTCTCACAAAAACCATGTGGCTGTGACATAAATACATGAGCTATATGAAACGGAAATTATTATGAAGGTATAAAAATAACCTTCACCGCTTTCCAACTAAAACAGTACTACAACAACATGTGTAATGATATTTTGTTATTGAAACAAGTAAAAAGACTTTCCACTTCGTAAGAGGTACAAGAGGATTACATTATTCAAAATAACCAGAAGCTGACCATTAAAAACAATTAATAATCACAATTAAAAAGTAAAATATGTATCAAATAAAAAATAAAATAAAATCAATCATTTCAGCCACATTTAGAAACAAGGAAGCAGTGCTGATTGTGTAATGTGGTAAAACATGATGAAATTTCCTCATAACTGCCTCTAAATGTCCAATCTAAAACTGAACAATGATTTCTTTTCATCACATTACATAGACTGGGAAGCACATGGACTGAGGGATTTGAGCATTATGGTTCTAGGATAACCTGGCAAGCCAATAACCTCTTACTCCCCTCACACATCACTTCTGGGCTGTAAGGTGTCAGAATGCATCATCTTACCTTGTTCACCCAGCAAGGGAGAGACCTCTCTCCTGTTTCCTTTCAAAAATCTTTCACTGCATTGTGACCACGGTTTATTCTGTTATATATGTTTGAATGTGAATGCATGTCCTCCCCCTTCTCTCTTACACAAACCCAGACCACAAAGTAGCCACAGGCTTATACATTTGTCTTCCGTGTTTGATAGGGGAGGGACTGCACAGGCGCACATGTCCTCTGCCTCCATGATACTTTGATCGTCTTTCTATTGGAGGGTGGTTTCAAAATCACACAACCATGTGCTCTCTGTGCCTGGGAGCTAACCTATAGGAGGGAAGCGGGCTGAGGGGGAGGTGTCAGTGAGAGTAGCTCCTCCTGTTTCTTTTCCCTCCCCCAACCGGCATACGACCTTGTGGTCTGCCCTCATTTAAACACACAGGCTGTAGCGTGACAGAGTGAAGCCAGTTTTACAGCTTCACATAACAGTTGTGCACTAGTTATTGGAAATATCACACTGACTTTCCTTTTGTTCCCCTCTCCCTGCCTCAGTGTATTTAATATGGTGTAGAGAGACTCTATTGGATTCTTCCTGTACAAGCAGGTCTATCTTGTTGACCATTATTCAGCTGTAAAGACCAGTCTGTCAACTTCTGCAACACAGGCATGACATTGCAGTTTAGATTTCCAATTCAAATCAGTTACAGGGAAACATTTAGTAAGGTTGTTTTAACCGTTCTGAATATGCCAAATAAAAAAGCACTCCACACGTTACGTTCAGTGATTCACATTAGACACCGATTTATCATTAGTTAACCTTCCTCTTGTGTTCGGGTCGGCACCGACCCGTTTTTAGGTTTTAAATGCATAAAAGTACCACATAATTATGTTTATTGCCTCAAGTCTTCTTGACTTTGTCAGAATCCTCTCCCTCAACAAAATAAAATACTTTTTTTTTTTTTCACTAAATTTTAAAATTCTCTGGTTGAAATTATACCCTTTGTGTTGTTCGGGTCGGTTCTCGACCCAGAATATAAAAATAAGAGGCCATAAAGCAATAATAAAGCTCAAAACTAAAAGCATAAGTGCCACTGTCAGTCAACACCACTTGACAACCAGCACCTGTCCCAAAATGTGTCTTTAGGATTCCTGCAGAAAAAAACAAACAAAGCACCTAACTTGTCCATTGTCAGTAGAGAGTTGGAGTGGATTTACAACATACACCTGCAATTTGCACAATGATGAGAAGAAGAATTTACACTGAGCAAGTTCTTGACAGTTATCCATGATGATAATGAGAGGAGGTGACCACGAGCAGCACGAGTGATACAGATGAGCCAGTTTCTGAGGTGGAAGACGATGTGGAGTTATCATCCAGAAGATACAGACACATCTGAATGAGGTCTGATGAGGAGGTTACTGGTGTTTGAAACTTGCTCCAGCGGAAAGATTCAAGTCCAAAAATGGTTTGAGATCTTTTGGAGCTCACTACCTCATGATGTGCATGCAGGGCAGCTGCGCAAATTGTAATCAAGGAATCACAAGGTTTGCTGTGACGAGAGTCCGAGTGACATCAAGATCCTGTTTTGAACTATTTAATGCCATTGAGGTTATAAAAAAAGAATCATCATTTCTGTGACAAACATTGAAGGAAAAAAAGTCCATGGCGACAAGTGGAACGACAATTGCATGAGGAATACCTTGGATGCCATATTGTTTGTTTCTTCTTGGCTTGGAGTCGTTAACAGATCCTGCAATGAGGCCACTGATAGTCTTTGGGAGCGCATCAACGTGCAGAAATATTGTTTCCGTGGCAACACATGTCACTTCAGACCTTACAAAGTAATAGCAAGAGTCCTTCCCAGATTTGGACAACAAGAGATACCAGAGCAAGAAATGACAAAGCTTGCCCCATCAGGAGTGTCTGGAAAAATGGGTGCGGCTCCTTCCCCACTGATGTTCAACCAGGGCCAGACGGTGACAGTGGGATGAACGTCTTGTCCCTATTCCGAGAAAATGCCCCTTCCGGCAATACATGCCCAGTAAGGCCAGGGAAGTACGGCACAAAAATCCTCGTGGCAGCCTGTGATGCAAGAACTAGTTATGCCTGTGGAACTACGATTTACATGGGCAAAGCTGCAATATATATATATGGGTCGAATTGACGTAACACCAAGATGTTACAATAGTTAATAATATTAAAGTGAAAAATAAATAAAACAAATTATTCAAACATTGTGTTCTAGTACCCCCCCTAGTAAGAGTCAGAAAGACAACAACCTTGTTTATGTATATGATTCCTTGGAAGGTGAGTGTCTTTACCATTTTTTTAAAATAGAAAATCGAGGGATATAACTGACTCCAGAGGCCCACTACCAATAAATATTATTAATCAAGATTTTGTCGGCTGGACCAATCGAGAAAGCCCCTAACAGGTAAATCAAGAGATGAGAAATAAAACACTCTGTAGTGAGAGGAAAATAGTTTTTAGCTCTATTTCTCACACATCGATTAAAACACGGGTCAAACTGACCACGGGGTGAACATGACGCACAGTAACAGGAAAACGAAAACACAAGAAGGAGGGTTAAGGTATAGAGTGTTTTAAACATATTTTTAATGATATAAGGTGGTGATAGAGGTGCACTGACAAGTAGCCTACTCCCCTTGAGTACGCAAAGGCTGGGTCTCCACTGCTCTGTCTACCATGTAGCAGCACAGGATAAGCCGACCATTAGCCTGGCTGACAAGGCGTACACCATCTGCCTTTTCTGTGGTAGCATCATGGCTCTAGGGATGGAAGTGATGAAAATCTCAAAAACTATGTTTGTTGCCCTGCAATTTTGGCGAAACATTCATGATTCCCAGATGATGATGATGATGATGGTGATCTTATGATTTTTCCTTAAGTGCCACCATGAGGTTGACACAATTTGAGTGCAAAAATGTTGTTCTATTTGTACTATTGTCCCCCTGTTTGTGATCCTCTGTCTTCTTTATACAGCACCATCATCAGGTCAGAATTTTCCATTTTCAGCAGGTGATTCCTAATCTTACTAAACTGCACTGTTTTCGAGAGCCAGCAGATATCTTGAAGTTTTCTCACAATATAAACCAGACTGCTGCAAGTTCCCATGCGTCTGTGTTATTGTTGTTCGCAGTCTAAGCAGCCCCCTTTTTCAAGGCTGCCAACAACAAATAGGAGGTTTAGGATTAGGTTGAGAATGTAAGAACCATGTTATAGAGCAGATTTCTACAGAGCAGCACGTATTAAAATGATTATTTAGGGTTGTATTAAAAGATAGTTCTCCTCACATACTGCATGTTGACAAATTGTGACTTTGAAACACTTGAAATCCAATCATGCAATCACACAAATCAAACAAAATCAAATATCTGAATTTAAAGTTGTGTAAGAAAACTGCATACAAATGTCAAATTACACTTTTTTTTGTATCCTAGAATATATGATGATGAGAACACTTCTAAAGTAAAGCCCAAAGGCAGTGCAGTGGGAAATCTGCCAGAACCTTTAACCAGACTATTAAAAGTAAAATAATTTGGTGTTTAGTTGTGTTTCTAAAATCCTAAACTGGACCATTTCACAAATCTGTGACAAATTGCTTCATTATAAAATTACACACCTAAACTGTCTGAACTAATTTCAGCAGTTTAAATTACCTCTGTTTATCATTGTAAATGACGCAAGATACCACCTACCTGCTTATGGGAATGAAAGTGCAGAGTCAGTCCTGATGAAAGGTCACACAAGTGCAGTGGAAACTGAGCTGAGGGCTGCTCTCCTCTGATGTGTAAAAGCAGTGGCCTTCTGATGTTCCTGTCTGTGAAGTATGCATACACATTGACTTGAGTGCTTTGTACTTTACCAGTCTAGATCTGTGGATTTGTGTCATGTGACCACTGAGGGCTGAGCCAGGGGTCCAGTTTGGGAACCAAAACTTCTTGGCAGGAGTGGTGGGTGGAGGGAGGGAACAAGGACATAAAGAAGGAAGGAAGGAGAGAGGAAGGATGAAAGAAGGGGAAAATAAGGTGAAAGAAAAATTGTAGTACATGAACATGAAGGTTGCCCCCTTGGGTAGAGTTTGAATGAGGGCAGCTTAGCCAACCAGAAGATGACTTTGGACAGCTCTCTGTGATTTCTGAGTGGGTGTTTGGTTGGGGTCAGTCTGGCTTTTGTTCAGCACAAATTCCAGCTCAAATGAATGACCCCTGTTGGGCAGTAACTTCACTGGATGGTATTTCATTTGAGTGCCCTTGCACCCACTTCTGCTCTGACTGGTACTACATGTTCCCTCCCTGAGACATAACAACAAAGCTCTTTTTAGGCTTGTGGATGTGGGACTGAGGAAAACTGAAATGTTTTGTTGCTGCTTAATATAAATTAAATCTCTGTCCTTTCCTGTCCCAATATATTCTACCTATGCTGTTTGCAAATTGATCTCTGTATATCATGTTTAGCAAAGTGACTCAATATACACAGCCAGGTTGATTTTGTTAACTATTCCAGTGTCCTTCACATTACTAAACAAAACTACAAACCTACTGAAAAGTGCAATCTGCGAACATATCCAGTATATCTGCCACAACCACCCTGAAGCTGCTTTAAATCCTCACAGGTTGTTGTAATTGGTCACTTTTGATAAATGCTTTGTACTTCAATGTACTCTTTGCTACAGTTGTGACACAACAAAAAGTTAGACTGATTGTTTAGCATGTTCATCTTATTTTTTTTACTGACATTATTACAGTTGTTCTTATTATTTAGTAATTATTAAGTATGTGTTTTTGGCCAAAGAAAGACCTCACATGGTTTACAATAGGATAAACCTTGATGATATTGTGAGTGCTCTATCTTCCCATACTGCTCATGAATGCACCTGTGAGAGGGTCAGTGAATATAATGAAAGACAATCATATTAAATTTAATATGAGTGACAGATGAGAGAGAAACGCAAATAAATAAGTGGAGAAACACCAACAACTTCTGTCTCAGGAATTATAGCTGGATCCCCCATTCATTTCAGCTGAAGCCAGTGTGACTGATGATTTCATTGAGTTTCCTGTTTCAGTGTCAACTTCTAACCAATGAATTTGCACAGTCGAATAGAAACACAAACAATCTGTGGAACTGTGACATCACATCTTTTTTCCAGACTGAGTGTGAGACAATTTGTTGTTTCCGTTGCTTTAAAGGGAAGTTATTCTGCGTGATCACCTTTATGCTATGATGAAACATAGGGATGTGAATCTTCCGGAAGAATGCTGTTATTCGTATATATTGTGGATAATACTTGGTATATATTATGTGCATTGTCTGGCTGTAAATTACAAAATGTTCCTGGGTGACAAGATCAAAATTACCAAAGACATGTCTGCTGATTGCATGACCTCATTCTTCTGCTACACACAAAATCATCACTGATGTCCAGTCACAGGACAGTGTTGTTTTGATTAAAACTTCAGGATTGTACAGGGCACTCCTGTGACCTGGAGTCATGGTGACTATTTGTGTAGCAGTACAATACTCTGCTTTCTTTTCTCAAAACTGCTGGGGCTCTGTGTTTAAACAAATATGTCTGTGTTTTTGGTACTGCCTGTACGGTGCGAGTGGGTCTGAAAGATTCACTTGTTAGACATCAACAGGAGGGCTGCCTGAGCTGGGGATACATGGATGAAATTTCTGACAGTGAGAATTACACGTTAAATAAGATACCAAACACAAGACAATGTACACCTGACCTTTATCCTCATTATGTTGTTATGGTGACTGGTGACACCCTCTTTTATAACTGGATCCTCCTTGGTCAGGGTGTAACATAATGTCTAACGTGGCAGATTCATCTATATATTAATTTATGAAAACATTCTCAATATTTATTAGCAGTCTCTTTTAAAATATAATTGTGTGCAAAGTGAAGTTGATGATTTGGATGTTAATCTTTCCTTTCTCTTTAGTTTTGTTAGTGAGCAATTAAAGGTGCTATAGTAAATATATTTACAATAACAATGGAACAAATGACAGAGAATTATCACCCGACTACGCAGTTTAACAGAGCTTTATAGCTTCTTTTAATGCACTGCTTTTGATTTGTGGCCACAACGTTACTGTTTCAGTTCATTCATTCTCTCTTACAACGCTGTTTCCATCACAAACAAAAAAATTAAACAAAAAAAGCTGTTAGGAGCCAGATATTTCAGGCGTTGGTAGAGAATAAGCTTTGGACTTACATTAGCAAGGTGGACAAAAACTGGACTCTGAATGAATGTGTTGCTTCACAGAAGTATGTATAAGTAGTCAACTATTTTTTTTTAACAAGTTCACTAGAACAACTACAAAGGTGAAAAGGTGATATGTTGAATTCACTGCCCCCAAGTGGCGAAAAAAAAAAATCTGTAATAGCAGGCATAAGGAAATTCACAGGCACTGGAATATTAGCTAGCCAAAGTAAACAAACTAGCATACTGTGTTATAATTAAACTGGACATTTGGTTTGTTCATGTGCAGGTGTTAACTTGATCATGTGTCAATTGGCAGAATAGCATATGAATGCAGCATTGTATAATTTGAATGATCACAGCAAATATTAAAATTTTTATTACAAAAAGATTTATTTTTATACAAGTGGACTTAAAATTATTAGTGACATTCATCTACAGTTTCCCTAAATTAGACATTGGAACGAGTGCTGGGTATAGAAACATTTACAGTACAGAAAGATTAGGGTGCATAGCAATAGTAGTGAAATCTGGCTATTGTATTTTTACAGTGCAGTAAATTATCAACCTTCTCCAAACATCAACACATTGAGGCCAAGAGTAAAAGGTACTTTATCATGTAAAAACAGTTTTGACTTTAAAAAATCTTTTTCACAACTGCATAGAGCAAATGCAATTAAGTACATAAGCTACTGTCTTCAACGTCAGGTAGACGTCTAGTACAAAGGGACAATTACAAATACAATACCTTTACACAGCTGATAACATATTGTGAAGTATTTACTGCTCTATAATGAAACCACAGAGTAAAGGCCAGGCACAGATCAACACTGAACAGCCTGTGCTGTGGTGGTGGCGCTGCAGTTGCTTCTCTCTCTCAGGGTAAATGTGTTTCAGTATTTTTTGCTAAAACAATGCATATTGGTATCTTCAGGTCTTAGTCTTACATGTTTCCAAAACACCTTTAAAAGTAGAGTAATAACATTAAGACAGCTGTGAGGATTTCTGACAGGACAGGAGATTATAGAAATCAAACAACAAAGGCAGGAGAACAGAAAAAAGAGATATATATATATACTGCTTTTGGTAAAAGATGCTGAAAAGACAGAGAAACTAGAAGGCAGATGTCACTGAAGAACTACACTGTTCAACCATACAGTATCACCTCCAGTGCATTCTGCTCAAACACAATTGAAAAAATTCAACATTTTTATGAAACACAAACTAAAATTATAGTTTGTGTTTCAAAATTAATTCTCTTTCTCATGACAACTGCCAAATACCCCACTTAGCAAAAACAACCTATCAGTAGTTGGACACAGAAAAGTGCATTTTTATGAAAATAATGTGCTAAACAAAACTTTCCTAGGCAGTAGTGTTATAAAGAAAACAACACATCTATATGTTCACAGTAATGTTCCAGAGAAAAACACACATCAAAAGGCAAAACCAATCCTGAGAAAATAATCTCTACAAATCAACAATGGCCTGTTGCACTTCAGTGCATTGATCAGTACACAATCTTCAATGTTTAAAACATCCTTACAACACAGAACAATAAAAATACATAATTATTTGAAAACATGGTGTCAAAAAAGGTAAAAAGACAGAAACAGTGTGGCCCTGCCAACAATGTCATCTTCATGGATTGAAATAAAAACAAAAATAATGAAGGACAGCATACTGTACCCTTCACTTAGTAATGGTTTTGGTATATGTGTTTTTTTTTTTTTTTGGATGCTAGTTGGGGCAGTCAAACAGTACAACACCCTCACATACCATATACAAATATGTTCTAGCTGTATGTAACTTTGAAATCACTTACACCATATTACTCTCAGCGTCTGGTACTGTCTGACTTTGCTTTTCTTTTCAACCACATAAAAAAACAAGCTGTAAAAAAAAAACAAAATCTGATTTAAGCAAGGCTCTGGCTATCATGCAATAAGCATCCATGCAGAACTTCTCAATTCCTACTCTCTACGCAATCAGATACTAGTGTATGAAATGCAACAGAGGACAACATAATCTTGCATCTGGACTGACATCCTCATTGTCCGCACATTATCTTTACAGAGATTCATCAAAGCTAAAGGCCCTTCAGCATCACCTCTGGTGACCTTCCATGTACTTTTCTGTCGGTGTCGGCTTGTCAGATTTGACTGATACTTCTGCTTATCACTCTGTTTTGGGGCCCCGAGGCTGTGTGTTTGGGTTCAGCACTGCAGCATACACATGGTGCTCAGAGGCAGAGGTAATCATGTGGGTAACCTCTCAGCTTCATCTGGAGGATGAAAGAGTGTAAACACACAGGATGGGGTTAACAGCAGCAATTTTTCATGGTTGTGTATCCAGTGAAAATTGTAATTCTGTATGATGCATGACAAAGACCAACTGAGGTGATTGGCTGACCTGATGGTGAGGATGGATTGTCCTCCCCTGTTGTGACAAACTGTAGATCAGACCCCAAAGCAGCTATGGAGCTCCTGGGACGGATGCAGCGGTCACCTGAGAAACTTCTGCGTAATAACGCCTAAAGCAAGACATGTCAGACATGACAGGTTATCTCAATGGTAAAATATCTCTATCAAAAACTTTTCAGGTAAAAGAGTTAAACTGGATGAACTACGAGATGCATTTTTCTTGTATATATGTACATAATAAAATATACTTACTTAACTAAAAGGACACAGTGGCAAAACATGTCAATGCAGCACACGCCAGTAAAGGCTGCAAATCTATCTATATATATATATATATATATATATATATATATATGTATAGATATTTTGATATTAAGATAAAACACGTAGCATCTTGATAAATCTATGTCCACAAAAAAACAAGATGCTGCTGCAGGCATTTGTAACAGGACAGAGTTTAAATCTTACCTTGCGTGTCATGGGACTGGTCGGGGCAGAGGCGCTGCTGTAGAGGCTGAGGCTCGAGTTGGACCTGCTGACAGTCAAGCCTTTAGAAGTGCTTCCTGCAGGAGACAAGTACTTCTCCTTGATCTTCAGGTTGGTCCGACCTTTTACTGTTGGTGACACAGCGAGGGGATTTCACAGAATACTGTAAACCTTGTAATTTATACAGCAGCCACACCTTAAATAACAGCCAGCAGACACATACTGTATGTAGAACTAATTAAAGCAAGGTTGCCAATGAAAGTCAGCTAAGAAAAAAAATGTCAGTGTTTCAGTGTTAATATGGTGGATAATACAGATTAGAAAAATTTCAATAATGTTAAAACTTCACCAGAGACAGATATTGCATTTATTAGAAATCCTGACGTGTTTTTATAGATTTGTGTACTGACTATGGCTGTCCTGTGAAAACCATGTATGTCCAAAATGTCAAGTTTTCATAAGCCAAGAGTAGGAGCCGTGTTTTCAGCTTTGCAACAATGTATTTTTGGGCTATATTCTATTGTTATAATTAATATTGATCTTAAGAAATTCTAGAAATTTCTAAACCGATGACGCAAAACCTTGTCTGTTTAGTTTTTTATTCAAAATCACCAAATTTAGAGATACTTGGTTTTCTTTGAACAACAACAATATACAGAACATTACCATACAGTATCAGACAGACATTAGCAACAGCTGTACTGTAGGGAAGCAGGACACAAAGGAGAAAACTGGATCTAAAAGCTCAACTTGGAGGATTTATTGTTTATCTGGCATCGGAAATAATTCATCTGATCATTTTTACATACATCAGTATTGTCACGTGTTTGAATCTACAACTGATTTCCATACAAATGATCAGTAAAGCACTTTTAGTCATGCCATGTGTTGAGGGCAGGAATTATGGATCGTGTACTGACCTCTGCAGGGGTCATTCTTGACCAGGAACTCATCTAAAGCAGTCCAGCCTCCTCCCACTCGCACCATCAACGTGCTCCGCAGGATACGAACCATCCGCAGCTGCTGGGAATCTCCAAACTGCAGCAAACACACAAAAAACATATTGCAGGTTATAGCTTTGAGGTCACAGCTACACAAGTAATAACACAGAGGATAATAATATTTTGTATATTTTGAGTCCTCATTGCTGTGGCACTTTTAAGATGATGATCACTGATGTTTCCATAAGGTTTCTAGACGCCATGCTCTTTCCAATTACCCATTTCATTTTATGTTTACAATAAAACAACCCTGTTATTGCTATGTTTATTACAGAGGATGCGTTCCCACAAACCCCCACCAGACATCAGGTGATTAAAGCGGTAAATGAAACAGCTGCTTTTTGAATTTGTGTCTATAAAAAAGACTCACCCTGTATCTGTTGGCACTTATTTGCTCCACTTGGAACCTCTTGGGACAGTTGCACTGTGATACCTGTCGACTCACCTGAAGAAGGCAAACAATGAGTTTGTCACATTAAATGAATCACTCTAATGGAAAAAACGTTTACGTGTTTTCGTATGCACACACAGTTCCTACCTCTTCATTTATCTGATCTGCATCCAGGGTTTTCCTGTAGGGATCTCTGCTAGGATGAAGCGCACTCACAAACTCATAGTAGTCAATGAAGCCATCACTGTTCATGTCAAAGATGTTTGCCACTGCATTCATCTCCAAGGAGTTGGTGGGAAATTCTACAGGAGTGAAGCCAAGAGGATTTTAAATTGTGCAACCTAAATGTAATTAGGTTGTAGATATGGCATAAAGTAAGTCTCATTACACATTTCAAATGCCATCTTTTGAACCTAATGGAAACTGAAAGAAGGTGATATACAGGTCACAACAGTGAAGTGATTCATAGCATGTGGCTCTTACTAGAGGCGAGGACATAATCGATAAACTCCCTCTGGCTGATGCGTCCGTCCTGGTCGCGGTCGATGCTGCGGAACACGTCTAAGATCCGTGACTTCAAATGACTGATCCACTGTATGTAACGCTTTCGCCAAATATTGAAGTCGAAGTTTGCAAATTCCTCCATCTGTCCAGAAACATAAAATGTCATTGAATGTTACCTCAAGTCAAAACTAGGCCAACTGTATTGGCACTAAAACCTGTTATCATTGCCACAATGATATTTTAAAGGGCACAATAACCTCTTTGAGTGTTTGCTGGTGTTGTTCCAGACGGTTTTGTCTCGCCATAGCCAGGAGCCAAAGCTTCTGCCACTGACTGACCAGCTGACAGAGCTGTGGGGTCTGGGGGTCAAGGTGCTCCAGGGGAATCGGTACGACAGGCTGCATCTTCAGAGTGCTCCTCCTCTCTGAATGGAGAAACAGCAGCATGGGTGGCTCAGTCAAATTATAAATGTTTTATCATTAACAAAGAGAAAGGCCTCAAGATGTTAATGCTAATTATGACTTTTTTCATGTGTTGATGTAATGTGAACTATACGGTGGCTTACTTGTGAGCGGCCTTTTGCTGGGAGACACGTGCTGTTTAGGAATGCTCTTGTGTTTGCAGGACTTTGTGGCGTGTTCAACATCTGGAAACTTTTTATTCAACTCCTCCATGAATACCTGAAGAATCAGTAATAACATGAAATTGTAAAGATGCATCTTAATGCGCTGTAAGTGGGAAATCCTTTAGTTAGAGAACATTGCCACCACAGTAAAATGGTAAAGGTTATATTGTGATGTAAATATTTTTAAAAAAGCATATGGACATCCTGAGCAAGAAGTGGAGACTCTTGATTTGAGCACAGTAAGATTGTTTTCTGGGTAGCTCATAGAACAGAGAAAAAATTGTACCGTGTGTTGCTCAATGAGTTCCTGGTTCTGCTCTGTGGTCTCAGGTGGAAGCTCTTGGTCTCTGAGGTTGAGGGCTTCCTCTGCAGAAGAGATCCAGTCTAGAAGCCTCTGGACTTCCTCTTTCTCTGCCTCCAGTGCTGACAAGTTGGCCTGGATTTTCTGGCCCTGCTGCTGAGCCCACGTCTGAACCTGACTCAGGAAAGGGGGAAGAAGCAGGAGGAAATTACACCAGTCACATCTGGATGCTCTCAAATTTGACACGCTTTTCTAGTTTAGAAATGTCTAGTTATTGAAAACATGTCTTCCTGTCTTCAAAGGATTTTCAGTTACCTAACTAAATAATTTCCTAATTAATTTGTGATTTATTTATGATATATGATTTATTTATAATACATTTTCTACTGTTTATTATGTGGTCATGAAAGCACTCACCTCCTCATAGCGGGTTTTGGTGACACTGATCCAAGATTTGAGGGTGATTATGGAGTCTGGGTGACAGGAATCCAAGATCTCCTCACCCAGACACTGGATGTTCTCTAACTCCACAGCCTGAACTTGCAAAGCACTCATTGACTCCTGTAGAGGGTTAGATAAAAGGATATTTAAGGGTTTTATCCAGTAACGCATTTGGGATGGCCATCATTCACGACGTACAGCTGATTGATCATTTTTCCGATTGCTGAAATGTGCCTATACAACAGTGGCTTAATGGTCAAAGCACCAGACCTACAAAGGGGTGAAGTTAGTTCAAGCATCGACTTGCTTAACTGCCCTTGAGCCAAATACTGAATCCTTATCAGCCCTTGTTGTTGTGTAGCAGACCCTGACCTTTGACCCCACTGGAAGCAGACAAGATGGGAAAAAAATTAACTTCCCTATTGAGAGTGGTAAAGTATCATGTTATACTAACCTTGTGCTGTTTGCGGAAGGCAAGCAAACTTTCCTCCTCCTCTGGTACCAGCCCATATTTCAGTATCCTCTCTGCCTCAGTAAGGCGCTCCATGAAGGAGTGGACAAGGCCATCGAACTTCTCAGCCTAACGAGGACATAGAAAGATAAGAGCTGGGATTGAACCTCCTTATCAACTTTTATTAATGGTCAGATATAGGTTACGCAACCATCATTCATTTCTGGTATGGTTGATGTTTCCACATGACCATTTAGACTTAATTTACCATTTACTAAATTTGAGAGAAACATGAACGTTCGTGGTTTTTGCAGGAAAATTGTCACATTTAAAGCCACTGTCACTGCAATGTATTGTAGATTGATAATTTCAGTCCAAAAACAGAAGTATCAGTATTCAAAAGCCAGGTTTGGACAGTAATGAAGTACATTTACTTGAGTACTGTTGTGTACAGTAATGTTGGCTGTGTTTACCAAAACCAAATTTCTTCACTGCTGTCCAACTTGAGAAAGTTTGTTGAAGTATATAATGTTTGTTTAATTCCAAATAAACTCTTAAAGAGAGAGCTTGTAGTAGTTGGCTGTGCTTTTGTTGATTCAATTGTGTTTTTTTGTAAATGCACAGTGGATACAACAATGTGTTGACATAAAAAAATGTACTTTTGAAAACTATTTTTTTAAGCAAATAATCCAGTACTTTAACTCAAACATTTGACTGAACAACTTCCCCTGGTATAGAAGTAATATTTGACCATAAGTTTGTATACTTTGACTCAAGTAACTAGAAACTAAAAGAAGAAGCTTATAAAGCTTCAGTCTTTTTAGCATTTATTATTTATCAGGTATTAGGCTTTTTAGCTGAACAAGTACCTGCTGAAGTGCAGCTTCCAGCCTGTCTTGCTTGCTGACTGACAGCTTGCACACAGCCTCCCAGCGGCCCTCCAGTTCATCCATCTGCTCCTGCAGCCAGTGGGCGTCAGCTGTGCTGCTCCTGGTCAGATCCCTCACAGAGCGCTTCAGGGTTCTAATGCAGCCGGCTCGCTTCCCTAACTCTTTTTGGAAAGCCTGAGAGAAAGAATATTTGGTGAGAACCTGCAACTTCCTTGCAGGACAGGATTGTGACACAAAATATAGATAAAAAGCAGCATACAGCAACTTAACATCAATAAGTTCACAGGTGTACCTTGTGTTTGTCAATCAGATTATTGACCATGTCTTTGTCTCCACCAACAGGAACATCCTCAGCCAGTTGGGGCTCTGCTCTGTACAACCAGTCATTCAGGGCCTGGAGAGCATCGGTGAACCTGCCTGAGAACAGCAGTGCTTCCTCCAGCTTATGCTGCCTGAAAGAAAACCACACACAACATTTTCAACATTACTCTGGATAAATCAGAAGTTTTGGTGTGTCATTTGAAAGAAATTTTGTTGTGTATGTTCAACTTTAGCGGCGTTGCATACCTCTCCATAGACTTGCCACTGATGGTGTCCCATGTGTCTTTGAGTTCAGCCAGCAGGTTTTCCAGATGTTGTCTATCGTGGCCAGTGTGAGCTCTTTCATGGAGGCTGCGACCATTCTTCAGTGTGGCCTCATACATGGGCCTCTTTGACCTCAGCAGTTTCTGGAACTCCTAATTACCAAACAATTGATCAGTAAAGATACTCATAAACAAAGAGCATGTTACCAAGTTGTTTTCATTGTGATGCACCTTCTGTTCAGTCAGCTGTTGTTTGATCTCCTCATGGGACACAGCAATCTCTTTATGCGTGTCTAATGTCTGTTCGACTTCAGTCATCCAGTCCACTAGCAGGCGCCAAGATTCATTGAACTGAAATATGAGAGATAAAGACAGATAGACGTGAGGCTTTGAGCATGAAAGCGAAAGTCATCCATTCATATTGGAGGTGACGAAGCGGGTTACCTGTTTGGCATTCTTTTTGACCTCTTCCAGCATCCTGCCTCTCTCTGAGGTGCGTTGCTGTAGCTTTTTGTAGCGATCCTGGACGGTCATTATTAGGTTATGAATGACATCGCACTCTTCCTTCCTGCTCAGTTCAGTTAGTCTACAGCCTGTGTTCTCCACTGTGGTCTTCTTCTCACAGTAACTGTTCACCTCATTGACTAGCGTCTGTTAAAAGAAGTTCAATGTTATTAGTGACCAAAAACAAATACTTACAAAAGTTTATGTAACTCTGGATCTGAAGCAGGCAGAAAGAAGGAATACAGCAGGTATAAAAAGACGTACTCTGTGATTCTGCAGCTGAGTACAAACAGTGTCCAGAACAAAGCTGGGAGAAGGAAGAAGCCCAATAGACTCTTCACACTTGCTCATCTTCGTGAGAAGTTCCTGGACGTTACTGTGGAACTCCTTGGCCAGACTCAGTCCCTCTGTAAGCTTCGCCTGCAGGACAAGCATTACGCTTTAATATAATCATGAGCTTGTATTCATAATAAAAAGCGATTCACACTGAAAACAAATTTAACTGAGGTGATACATGATGATGACTATGTAAAGTAAAATTACCTTTCGCTCCTGGACTTTGCTGTAAACAGACGCCCATTTCTGTTCAAGAATAGACAGGCTGTGTTCGGTGCTCGATCCCCGCACAACGTTGCCGCTCTCTAACATCCTGTGGATGGCATTCTTCACATCTGTGTAGGCGTGGAGCTTTGAATCCATCTCAGTGCACAGCTCCTGTTATGGTTAAAGACAGTTAAGAAAATTATCGGAAGGATTATAGGAAGGACATTATTATTTTCATGGGGAACAAATTTTTATTTTCTTGATTATATGTTTTAATTTTTACAGCTAAAATTCTGGTGGGTCTCACCAGGTGTGCACTGAGCCTTTCACTGGCAGAGTCTGGCATTCCCCACATGGTCTTAGAGGAGGACAATCTCAGGTCTGTGTTCTCCAGCCACTGCAGAAGATCCTGAATCTCCATTGTAACGTCTTGGACCTGTAATAAAAATGATCCATCAAGTAAGTAAAGACTGAAAAAAAATTAACAATGGTAACAAGGTTGTCATTTTACCTCATAATAAGTTATCTCAAAAGTTCCATTATGTGCCATCAAACTTTGTACTATTTTTTATTTGAAGATAACTATATATATATATTACATGCTACATTTCCTTTATGACAAAAAGCTGTACATTCAAATTTGGGCTTGCTTTAACACACTTGTGTATTCATCTTTCTCAGTTTAAAAAAACAAACACACATATAATTCATTCCTAATCAGACAATCACCACAAGATGGCACCATCACATACTAATGTGAAACTAAAATATGTTACGATGCAGCCTCCTATTATACTGTGTAATAATGTACTATACACACAGGTAACTATTAGTCTAATCTACCCTCTGGCTGTTACTGTGACTGTAACAGAATAATGGATGTTTTCTCTCTTCACCTGGCTCAGTCTGTTCTCTAGTTCCAGCTGCCTGCGTTCAGTCTCACAGCGAACAAACTCCCAGCTTTCATTGAGTTGCTCCAGGCGAGACTGCAGACCATGTGGACTGTCCCCGGACCCAACCTCCAGCAGCCCCCTGCCTGCCTGGTTCAGTGACTCCATTGTGCGAACATGGGACATGACATCATTACGCAAGACCTTTGAGAGAGAAAAGGCATCAGGAGTCAGAGATTTATCAAAGTATCAGTGACTGATTAATTAAAACGTATTGCTTGAGAGGTGTTAGAGCGAAGTGTTTTCTGATCTTAGTTGTCCTGGGATTCTAGCAGTGGTGAGGCTAGCTGTTGGTAAGGCACATAGTACAGACACTGGTGGACACAGTGGTGAACACTCAGGACACAGAAGCCTGTTGCTAATTCAAGGTTGAGTGTTCAGTGTTCACTAGCAGATAAAGCCACAGTTCTATGAGAAAATCTGAGTTCCAAGGTTTATTGTTTTCTGAGACCTTCAAAGTCTGAAAAAGCTTTATTACCTTAGGACCTCCCTGACCATACAGCCCTACAATGATGCACTCTACATTGATGTAACTAGACCAGCACCAACCTTGTGTTTGGCCAGCTCTATTTCACAGGCCTGCAGGTCGATGCTGATTGGCTGGCTGCCCTGCAGTTGTTCTGCGGTGCGGGAAAGCCATGTGTGCAGCTCATCCAATGTGTTTTGGAACTGACCCAGACCCAGCAAAGCACACTCCAGCTGATGCTGAAAATATAACGCGTGGATAGAAAGCTTTTAGGTGACATAGCATTATGAGAACAGCTAATTACCGGTATATGTTTAAACTTGGTGGCTTGATGACAGGACTTATTTATATTAATCTGTGATATCTGTTTCCATATTCTCACCTGTCTGCTGACCGTCTCCGACTCCAGGCTGTCCCAGCGCAGTCTGAAGTCACACAGCGGTGAGACTGAACCTGGGCGCTCTGAGCCTGGAGACAGCCGGCATACAAAGCGATGGTTCAGGCTTTCTATCTCAATCTTCTTCTGGTAAAGTTCTCGCTTAAATTCCTGAAGCAAAAAATTAAGAATGAATATGTGTGAACTAACATTCAGCTCACTATTTTCATCACTGACATGTTTTATGTAATAATAAAATGCATTACACAAATAAAATTTAAAAAAAGAGAAAAGAGAAACTAGCACATTTACTGGGCAAAACTAGTCATCAGTTAGTCTCATTGATGGTTATGGGTGTACTTTGGTGTACAAACTCACCTTGAGATCACATAGCTGCTCTTTAACTGATTCCAGGTCAGTTCCTACCATGAATTCTTCAGTAGACCTCAGCTCAGCTGACTTCAACCACTCAAAAAGACCCTATTAGCAAAACAATAACAAAGTGTGAATATAAGCACATTTAATGAGATACTGTCCAATCTCTGTTTGTTCCACTCAGCCCTTAATTCTTACCATGTTGTGTGACTGTAACATTGATTACATTTTTGTTCTTATCATCAAAACATGTGTCCTTGCTGATACATACTGCTGCATACATTTCATCTAGTTCATGTCTCATGCAGTTTACACCATTTAACTCATTTGCCTTTGGCAGAGGACCACACCATCTGTCATTTACTCACAGTGAAACTACAGGGAGTCACAGTCTGAACTTTTCTATTGCAACAAAATAAAAGACTAGCTTTGTCTTTGGCAGGAGGCCATAAGACTGCTGCCCGAGTCTGCTGCCCTGGTTGCCAAAGTGCCCTGTCTGACATGGCTATGATACTTTTCATGGCATATTTGTTAATGTATGGGTACGCATATACACATAATGCAGACATATACTGTAAGTATACACACACACACACACACACACCTGCATAGTGTCTTGATAGTGTAGTGCCATCTGCAAGGACTCCTCCAGCTTTTTGTGACATTCGTTCCACAGTTTGCTCAAGTTGTTCCATGTGCAATAGAGCTTCAAGACAGCAAAAGACAGAGTGTTAAGTTTGTCAACACATCTTCATCTTCATGAGACAAATTATTTATTTATGATTATTTAAATTACTGCTTACTTCATCTAGGCTCTTTGTGACATCTGGTTTGTCTGTATCCCCGCATGCTGACATCAGGTCCATTCCCAGAACACCAAGGGTGTCCAGATCTCCCTGCAAACTGTCAATATCCTCCCTGACAGTCTGAAGTGGAAAGAATAAAACATTTTATACAGTGTCATGGTGAATAATTATAGATCGCAATATGGGTTTTTTTATGTTCCAGAGAGTTTCCAGACAAACCTGCATGGTTTCAAGGCTCTGGCGGATTGTTTCAGAGTCTGTCCGACTAGCATTGAGGTCCAAAACCGCCTGCTGTGCATCACTGAGAGCAGCCGTGACATCGCTGACATCACTCCAGAACTTCATAGCAAGATCCAAGAGTTTGAGCAGCCAGTTTTCCCTCTCCTGGGCCTGAGTGTGTGTCTCATCCCACAGCTGGGACAAGCTGGACACTCGCTCCTGGATTGCTAGGATTGCCAGGATATAGCAAGGACATAGCTTAGAATCTGTCCCAATATATCAGTTAATAACACTGCACCAGCAGCATGTTTATATCGATGTCTTGGGACAATATCATATTTGTATTCAAGCAAGGTAATTTCTGAGAAGAGGATTACCTGTGCCAATGGAAACATCACCAGCTGCCTGTGTGTTAGCCAGCAGCTCATCTGCCTGTGTCTTGACACTGCTGAGGCCCAGCTCCAATTTGGACAGCTCAGCCAGGGTGTGCTTGTTGTCCTGCAGCTGCTCCTGGATCCTTGGGGTGATTCCTTGAAGTGAGGTGGGAGTCTGTATGCGACTGCGCAGGCGGTCAAGACTCTCTCTGATTAGAGTCATCCTCTCATTCAGCTACAGGAACAATAGAAGATATGAAGTTGTGCTTTTGTGTATTTGTGATAGGGCTATTCATAGTATTTTCTACATTATCTAAGCATTCTTGCCTGTGTGTATCGTGGCAACGACTCCTCAAGTAGACTGGCAGTCTCTCTGACCCGGTCTCTGATGGCCTTATGTTGCTCCTCTGCATCTGTAGCCTTGCGACAGAACTTGTCCCCCTGAATGGGATTTAGTTCTGACAAGCGTTTTGCCAGGGAGCATAAGCGTGCAATCAAAGGTCTGTGTTCTGCTATAGACTCCCTCAGACCCTGAGCGGAAGAGAGAGATAGAGAAAGGTTTAATAACAATGTGAAAAGTAGACTTTTTTTCTGAGAGAACATGATCTGAGTTTAATCCCTAAAATAAATAGATGGCGATAGAAAAAATCACATTGTCTCACTTTTCACGGCATACCTGACAAAACAGAAATGTCATTATAGTACACTGGTGGAAAAGTAACCCTGTCCAGACGCAGATTACACAAATGAACTATGCTTGAACAGAACAGCCCCATTAGCCCATTAGGAAAATGGCTGTAGACTGTGAAGTATAAAAGAACTTCTTTGTTGAACACGACAAGAAAAGGGGAGAAAAAAGCTGGCAGAGCCGGCTGTCGAGGCAGGTTTCGTCTACCTGTAAGAGGTCCTGTTGTTCCCGAAATGCTTCATAGCTAATTGTGCTCAGGGAGAGCTGACCAATGAGGGTTTGAGTTTCTTCCAGCCAGGGTGAAACCTCAGAAAGGCTCTCAGAGAACTGGAGAAGAAGCGACTGAGCATGCTCAAGCTGCAGAACCACGTGGGAATTGGTGGCTGAGGTGGTGTTGCATTGTTCCTGTAACACATCTATTGGGGTCTGCATGGAGAGATGACAGTAAAATAAGGAAATATTCAATCTTTATTAGTACATTTACAAAATCAGTAAAATGGTTGCATAAAATGTAGTGAAGACCATACCCGAAGATCACCCATTTCTCCTTCATCACTGTATGTTAGCAAGATTTCAGCAATCTTCACCATCTTCTCAATGTTAAACCTGTGTTGGAGAATCTCCACAGCCAAAATCTGTTCAGGACATAACAAATATTAAATTAAAGACAAATTAAATTCACATACTAAACATAAATTTAATTCATTTCTAAAAGGTTACACCAAACATAACACTTAACACAAACATGCAATGCAATGCAATGCAATGCAATGCAATGCAATGCAATGTTAGTGATGAAATATTTATTTAGTTCATTATCTAGTCAGCAATATTTATCCTGACCTTCTGCTCATAGAGCTGTTCTGCTATGAGCTCTGAATCCAGATGAATGGTTTTCAGCTTTTCAAGACTCAGGGCTGTGTCTCTGAACCAGGCCATCTCTTTCACCACCGCCTGTTCCAGCTAAAAAGAATAAACTGTATGTTAGCATATCATCAGTAATATTATCACTTCAATTTGATACAAACATGTCTGAAGTCTAACAACAGTGCAGGGCAAATACTGGCTGTAGCATAATTCTGTCATAAATGTGGTGTGTAAAAAGTATATTTCTAACAATGATATTATAATAACAATATTGTAAAAAAAAATGTGCACAGTACCGTATAACAAAATGTTAAAAATGTAAAAATAAGTATGAAGTAAGTCAGAAATATATATTTTTTAAAAATTGGCACACCTAGAAATACAGTCAAACGATATTTGAAACATACTTTAGAAAATAAAAATGTGTAATTACCATACATAACAATCTGATACCTAATATTTGCCTCAGCAGGATAATCAGGAGCAGATAGGTCCTCATGCCAGACACAGGTGGAACTAATAACATTAACGAGGACTCTGTTGCTGCATTGACATTATTCACTGCACCTGTGTCTTTCCTGTAATTATATGGCGACATATCTGCTGTAAAATAGGCCTTCAGTGTTAAGTGTTCTGCGTTAGGCCCCACATAGCGTGCCACTGGATATATCTGTCAAATATAGCTAAACATGGTAAGTCATGTCTGATTAAACATACAGTATTTGTTTAAGAAGTGGTTTTGGTGAACATATTAAGCTCTCATGCTAAATCTTACTAAAAGAAAGTAGCTCACCAACTTTACATGCATCAGCTTAGTTCACCTGAAGGAAAAATTTTGCTTTGATATTAAGTGCTAGCTACTGGATTACGTAGCTAACAAAGTTAATAAATAAAAAGTTCAGTTTAATAAAGTGTGTGCAGTTGAGGCTAGCTAGCTACTTTTTTCTTAATCTGATAGTAATTTATTTTACACATGCTGCTTGGAAATGTGGTTGGCAGTTCAGAAATAGTTTGCTATGCTATGATATGCCAAGAAATGCTAAGATACAAAGGTCATTCAAAGTCCAAAATGATTCCAAAGTGATTCCAGTCACAAAATGTAATGTGGTCAAAAAAAGTAACAATTGTAATAGCACTTTTGCTTCCATAGCTAATTTAATCTACTATTCCTTTCTTATGCTTTTGCTTTGAACCTACACTATGGCTGTTAGATGTTTCAAAGTAGGATTGTGTGGGAACATTACCCTCTGTCTCTCAGCTGCACAAAGTACTGCATCTCCAGTATGTGTCTGTGCTCCTGCTGCTCCCAAGAGCTCCCTCTCAATGCGGCCCAGCCACAGGTGGAGATCCTCCTGGCTGGAGGTGCAGCGACTAGAAGCCTCCAGGGCCTGCTCCAGCCTCTGCAGCACATCCAGACTGCTCAGACTCAGCACAGAGCAACGAATACGCAGAGCATCCGTCTTCTCTTGCACCTGCTGGGCTTCCTCCTCTGAAATGATCACAAACACTGGACATGTCAACAATGCATGGGGTAAAACCAAAATATTTTAGCATATATTGATAATATTAAAAATCAATCAGTCTGAGTTCAGTTGTCTAGTATACCAGATTCCACACAAAACCATCTGTAGGAGCATGTATTAGTATTACTATCAATAGATGTTACAGTGGAAAAGTCAGCTGTTGCCACTAGTAGTCTTGGAACAAAATATCAGAATTGGATTAATTCATTTAATAAATATTGATTTCCACAACCATACTAATGGACATACGTTTTTACCTTATAGTAAATATTACCTGTAATTGCTTCCATCAGATCATGTCCTGACTTTTGTATTTTCCCTAACTCAGCGGTTTTGATTTGTATCTCTTCAACAACAGCCTGTTGAAATGAAAACATGTGAAAATTATATTTTTATATTCAAACAACACAATGGAAATTTACTATAGTTTACATACAATTAAACCGCACATGTTAGATTTACAACCTTGGCCCGATCCGTGGCGTCTGAGAGATGCAGCATCACTCTTTCTGCATTTCGTAGTTCAGCAAGCGTCTGTTCCACAGATATGAGCCATTGCTGCAGGCTGTCTACTCCC